GCACACGCACGCACGCACGCACGCACGTACACAGGGATAGAGGTAAAACACGCACGTACGCGCACACGCACGCACGCACGCACGCACGTACACTATGCTATGTTCCAGGAACCAGGAAGCGGAATCCCCCCATCGCACATCGTCCGAACACCACCGAACATCACCGAACATCACCGAACATCCGGAATCGAGTTTCCACGACCCGACCGATGACGTCGCCGTGGACCGCCGCGACACCCGCCGCAGGGCGCTCGTGATCCTCCCCGCTCGACCGACCGAACCGTCATGGACGAGAACTTCGACACGTTCCTGAACTACGAGGTCGATCCGAACTTCGACGACGACGACGAACGCTCGATGCGCTCGCGCTCGCACACCTGGCCGCGCCGCCGCGCCCAACCCGACCCCCCGCCAGGGGGCGCCTCTGCCGCCGCCGCCGGCAGCGGCAACCCCAGCGAGGAAAGCCTCGAGCCGAGCGAGGAAAGCCTCGAGGAAGCGACCGCGGCGGCGGCGGCGGCGGCGGCGGCGCCTCCCCCGAAGAAGGGCGCGGGGAGGAGGAACGCGTGGGGGAACTTGTCGTACGCGGAGTTGATAACGAGTGCGATCGAGCGATCGGAGAATCGGAGGCTGACGCTGAGCGAGATCTATTCGTGGATGGTTCACAACGTGCCGTACTTCCTAGACAAGGGAGACACGAACAAACAAGCTCGGCTGGCTGGAAAGGTGTAGTGAGAGCGGGAGAGGAGGGAGGTGAGGGGAGGAGTGGAGGCAGGAGGAGTGGGGAGGGGAGAGGGGGAGGGTCTACTTTTAGATGGTTCACAAACGTGCCGTACTTTTTCCTAGACAAGGGAGACCACGAACAGCTCGGCTGGATGGAAGGTTGATGAGAGGGGAGGGGGTGGTGGTGGAGGGAGGAGGGAGGAGAAGGCGAGGAGGCAGGGGGTAGGGTCACTACTTGTAGAATGGTTCACTAACGTGCCGTACTTCTGCTAGACCGAAGGGAGACACGCAACAGCTTGGCTGGATGGAAGTGAGGAGAGGGGGAGGGGAGGAGGTGAGGAGGAAGGGAGGAGGAAGCGTGGAGTGGATGGAGGGAGGTGGTGAGGGCGGAGGGTCTCCTCTGTGGATTGTTCACCACGTGCCCGTAACTTCTAGACAAGGGAGACAGAACAGCGTCGGCTGGACTGGAAGGTGAGAGAGCGGGAGGGGGAGGGAAGGCGAAGGAAGGAGGAGGCGCAGGAGGGAGGAGGAGGATGAGGAGGGGGGGAGGGTCGTACACTGTGTTGGAGTGGTTCACAACGTGCCAGGTTACTTACCTAGACAAGGGAAGAACAACGACAGCTCGGACTGGCATGGAGAGTGAAGAGAGGAGGAGGGGGAGAGGTGAGCGAGCGGAATAAGGGGGAGAGGGGTGGGGGCGAGGATGGGAGGTCACTCGTGGACATGGGGTGTCAACAAGTGAATTAACGCGAACGTTGCGACGGTAACCTTCCTTGAGACAAGGGAGACACGAAATCGAAGTAGCTCGGTCTGGATGGAAGGTGAGAAGGGGAGGAGGAGGTGGTGAGGGAGGTAGGAGGAGGAGGAGGGGGATGGGAGAGAGGGGAATGGGGTCTACTGCCCGTGAATGGTGCACCAATCGATGATATTCTACAGTCTATCTATCTATTGCCATCTATCCGTCCGTTCACGTCGTCCGTCGTCTTTGTTCGTCCGTCGTCGG